AAAGATAACAAAAAAAGGTTTTTTTTAAGTTGTCTTTTCGACAAAGCGAAAAGATGTCTAAAAGATGACGAAAAACATCGTTTTTAGATTGTCTTTTCAGTATAACGAAAAGATATATATGTATAAGATATTTTTTATAGTTTTGTCAAACAGATAACTTAAAAAAGACATCTTTGTTATCTTTCTAATCATCTTTGCAAAGCAAAAAGTCAATTAAAAAATATCTTTTTGTATTGCCGAAAACACAACATGAAAAAGATATTTTTCCGTTATTTTGATACTTTTTATTACTTATTCGCTAGAAGTACGCGGAATCGCCATCAAACGGACGTGGTTTCTCATGTTTGAAAATCATACAAGATACAATAAAAAGGTGCAGCATTATGAGAAATTTTACTCGTATTCTAATAAACACTAATAAAATATTTTTTTAAATCAAGTTTCCCAATATTATAAATGAAAGATAGTGCGGTTCTTGCACATAAGACACAACAAACATTGCAGGACCCAGAAATGGAATGTATATTGTCAGTCATGCAATTTCATTGCATTTCATTTCGTTTTGTGTAAAAATTAATTTAGGAATTTGATGTTATTATATGTATTAAAATAAAAACTAAAAGAAGTCTTAAAGAGGACTAAAAGATATCTAAAGAAGTCATCTTTTAGTTATTTTTTTTCGTCGACTATATTCTTTCACTAAAAGATATCTTTATAACAATTTAGTCATCTTTTAATCACTTTTTAGACGACTTTATGCTCTCTAAAGTAAGTAAAAGACAAGTAGTAAAAAAATTGTAATGCATGATTTACAATGGCAGAAACAGTAATGGATGAAACTGTAATGCATCGTCTACAATGGGCAGTAGCAATAATGGATTAAGAAGTAGGCGTAGAAATCAACAAATCATAGTTGAATGTGAGAAGGATAATTAACTATCATTGGCCGATTTTTACGCCTACTTCTTAATTCACTACTGCTACTGCCTATTGTAGATCATGCGTAATGCGTCGTTTACAATACACGGAAGAAGAAACAAGAGTAAAAAATTGACCAATCACAGTCAATCATTCGACCGTGATTGGTCAATTTCTTACTCTTACTACCATTGTAGATCTTTACGTACGCTCTTAATACCATTGTATTCGCTATTAGTAATGGGCGTTATTTCGTTATTTGTTACTAATAGTTATTGAAAAATATTAAATAATTTTAGTAACCGTTATCAAATTTGAAAAATAACGTTATCGGACTTAAATGATTATGTTTAAATTTTATAAGTAAATAAAAGGTAAATGATAATGTGTGTTTAAAATCCTACTTTTTATCTTTTTTGCCAGTAGAAGCGCTGTCGGTTCTACCACTGTCACAGTATAATTACAGTACAATCATATCCAGTAGCGACAGTGAACTTTCTTATAGACTACAATTTTTAGTGCGCATGTGTCGATTTGTAAGTTAGGAATATGATGGACGTATTAGGAGCTTAACAGAAATTTAAATTTAAGAGTCTGTCCTATCATAGCTCTACTGTGTACACTTCACAACATGACGATGAATCATATGATTTAAGAACACCTACATCAAAGGTGCTGATGTTCAGTGTCGCTACTGGGTATGATGATATTGTATTGCTATATTAAGTCAATATTACATGCGTCCGTTTTTTGTCGTACAACAAATTTTTCAAGCCTATTGATTGACTATGGGACAAAGAGCCTCTCTATTTTGCAGCCAATTAACACGCTTGAAAAATTACTCATTACCAAGTTGTTATCAATCTTTGTGCATAAAATTTAACATTTTATATTTATTGGTTTGCACAAATATTTTAAATAATGAAATATTTCAAAATAGACTTCTTAAATGACTTAAACAATGAGAAATAATCTAAAAAATGTGACGACTGATTACACTGAGAGAAAAATGTTTGGTATTTGTAACTATAATTACATATTACTATAATTATGATTATTATTGCTATAACAATAGTATAGTTATAACTTATAAAATTATAGTCACTTGAATCATTTTTATAGTAATTTCAACTATTTTATAATAACTATAATTATAGTCATTTTCGGTTTTCAACTATATATTATATATATAATATTTGTTACTAGAACTATATACATAGTTACTATTAGGTACTATTATTAGGTATTATTATAGCAGTAATAATCATAATTATACTAATATGTAATTATAGTTTCAAATACCAAACATTTTTCTCTCAGTATAGGATATAAGCTATTATAAAAAAAATCGTTTATACGTAAGCTGCTGGAAAAGTTTCTGCAAACAATACCAGAATATTATGATAAAGGTTATAACGCTATTTTATGATGCGATCTATTTAATACTATAAAACTTCAATTTATTCTTTTTTTTTATTGATTATATTTAGTAAAAGTGTTTCTTGTGATTGATCAATTAAATGCCTCAAAGCATTTGCAGCTTCAAGTAGACCACATTTAAAATATCTACATAGATAATATAAAATATATATACATATAAAAATTATATATTTAAAATTACATCTATATATATTTTTATCCATATCATACATAAATAAGCAATTTTTCATCTAATTTATAATCACTCTTATTTTTCCTTGCAATCAGCTTTATTGCAAGAAAAAATGAGTTTTTAAAATACTCACTGACAAATATGTACATCGTTAATACGATAAAGTATATATTATTGCAGATATATATATATATATATATATATA